TGTTCTCATTGAAACTCTCCTTTACTGAAACTGTTGTGGAATGTGAAAATACTCCCCACTCCCGTTAGAAGATTGTGTATCAGGGACATCCTTCCAATAAATGCAAGGAGACAAATGCGCACTCTTCAGAGTTGCCCCGGAACCTGTAACGGTTTACATTGCAGAGCCAGCTGGAGAGCTGCTTTGAGATTGTGAACCGAGACATGTTTTAGCGCGCTCTCTCTTGCAAGAAAGACAACTATGCCTGCCTCCTGAGTCTTCCTGTTCCTGATGTGTTCTTAGCATCTGATTACCAGCATTAACCTAACAAATTTCCTCCTCCCACCCCTTGCGGTCGACTTGGGACCAGTTCGCTGGCTCCCGGTTGATTCTGATCGACGTATTGCGCACCTCTGCCTTAAAATCAGAGGTAATTCTCTGACTAGCTTAGCGCCGTTGTTTGCGCATGAGTGGTGATGCAGTCATCTGATTGGTTGCCCTCTATGTCAATCATGTAACGCGATTGATGATAGGCTGACGTAGTACGTTCTGTGTAGTTAGCGCCTTCTTGTAATGGCATCGCCACCGCCGAGGCGTTTTCAACGCTTGGCGTGTGAAAGCCCGGGAGCCGCATTGTACCAGCCAAAGAGCCGCTTGAGGCTCGCGAGCCGCGGGTTGGCCACCCTACAGTAGGATGGCCCATTTGACATTGCTTTCCACAATTGTTTTCAGGATCGGCATCACTTCAGTTGTGTTGACTCAACTATACAAACGGTTAACAGCTATTTTCTACAGTGCTCTTTTTGTATATTTCATTGCTTGTTTATGCACTTTGGGTTCTGTGAACATTCACTACGCCAGCCAGGAACTCGAGGAGACTGAAACACCGGCACCAGACAGCCATTTTGAGTGCCGGATTTGACAGATGAGCGTACATAATTTGTACCTCACCAATGCAAGGTCTTTGGTGCACCGAGAGAGATTACAGCTCACTTGGAAACATTCTCTGTTTATACAAACACATGATGTGCATCTGCTCTGACTTGTTTAATAACGTGGGCTTTTATTTAGGATACTATTGATTAGATGAGTTGGAAAACAACCTATGTTGAGGCAAAGGTAGCTATTTTACAAAAGTTCACAGGTACCCAATCATACAAAATAAATAACTAAATAATATGTGACTACTGAAATAATTATCTTGTCCAAATAACCTTGCTGAATGCATCGACCCGATACGAGGTGCTTAAAGATGCTGATTTTGCAGTGTTTTGGTGCTGGTCTTCTTGCTGGTATATCCGTAAGTTAAATTCAACACTAATCTGATCTACGGTACTTGCAGGGCTCATGCCTTATTATGTTGCTGTGGCAACAGTTGATTTTTCTGCCTGACGCTATACACTGCTGCCATATACGGTATAGAAAGGAAGATGCCTCAAATATATTTGAAAATGATACACAAGCAACGATAACAATGATGAGGATGATGATAATGGTGAACATTCTTCCCGTGATCATTCTTTCACTTTTAACTGTCGACGAGCATGGCAGCATGGAATCCAATTTTAAGCCGACAGACGTGTCGCAGACTGATGTTGTGCCTCGTTGCCGATTTTGAGTTGTCTTGATGCGTCGTAGCCTGTGTAGTGTGACATAGTGATTGGTCGTCTTGCATCTGCGATGCTTTGCGACGCCGAAAGTAAGGCATGTCAGAATTTTCGTTCGTCTTGCCGCATAGTCTGACATGTTCTACGTCGCCCTTTGGCATTGACCAAGAGGAAGAGAGTGCCCTCTTACTTATGATGAGAGACTGGATATGGTGCGCACAAACAAGAAGTGTTGGAAAAGTGACTTGGGCAAAAGGAGAGAGATTGGAAAGCACACGTAGCAAGTCAGTTTCATTGCAACGCTTGTAGCTGATTAGCAAATGTGGCGTCATTAAACAAGTTTGTTTTGGGGAGAATAGATAGTCCATACTTCCCTCTTCTCACCACGCAGGAACCGGTCCACATTCTCTTTTTTTTTTTTTATAAACTTTTTTGCCTTTTCTGAGCAGAGAACAAAGGCACCTGCACAGAATGCCTCCGTCATCATGACTGATAGCTGCTTGTCCCGCCTCCTCGACGGACATGTGGTGATGGACTGAATCTTGACGAAAGCACGCAGCAATTGGGCAGGTCCTGGTCGGTGATGAACTTTAATGTGACATCTCGCAGGGTCCCAAGACACAGAACCGATATTTATCTGGTAGTCTGACAGTGTGACCGTCGTGAACGCCAAAATAGTTGTGTAGTTTGTTTGACAAGGCCATGACAGCCTTGGACAAGGAGATAAAAGACATCTCCTTTATTGTGCCACTGTGGCTAGAGAATGTGGTGATTAATTTTAATTATTTTTTTTTGAAGAGCATATTTTTAAATTAAAACAGAGGCTGAATCATTGTTCTTCATATTTTTTCACCCAAGTAATTTTTTTTGTTCTACATTTCAATGCAACTGCTCAAGTTAGCTTGAATTTGATGGATTCATCCAGAAATGTCACCTGAAGGCCAAACATCCGGCGCTTTTTGTGAGTAGTGTATAAAATGCTTGACGCTTCCGACTGTTGCTGGTGATTCCTAGACTTGTTCGTGCTTGGAAAGCAAGTCCCATCAATATGCTTGAAAGTTTTATGAACACTGATGACAAGATGATTTTTTTTTTGTTGCAAAACTATTTGCAATCAATCACTTGGAGAGGTCTTACGTGTCAGTCAGGCCGTACGCCAAGTCCAACATGTCCATTTCCTCATCTGTGACGGGGCCCAGTTTTTTGTAGACGTCCTCGTCAAAGATGAGATGACAGGTGGAGCACGCCAGCGTCCCCTCGCATGCTCCTGAGGCCAAACACACACTTGAGTCGATCGGATACGCGCTTCTTACGCGCGCGGCCGCTAAGTTTACAAACCAAAGCCATCAAAGTCAAGATCTTCATTGATGACAACGTCGAGCAGCGAGTCCCCAGGAGAGCCCTCGACCGTGATCTTCTCGCCGTCTCTGTTGATGAAGTGGACTGTCACCCGATTGTCTGACCTGCGTGGAAAGTGAACCACTGAGCACATCCCTCCAAAGTCACGCAATCATATACATTTTTTTAAAGACCTCCCTCCCCCACCTCACATGTGTATTCAACTCGATGACCTTTTACTAACCATGTTGGCGAAAGCGTGCACAATGTGATTAAATGCTTGTAATCAGCCAGAGTCTGACTCTCTCCTGCACCAATTGACCTTTTAAGGCAAAGCATGCAAGGATTAGCAAATAAACCCCACAAACGCTTAATCGCTCTGTGGGGGGGGGGGGGAGATAAGAAACAAGCTATTTGATAGCCTTTGTAGCACCACCCCCCCAAAAAAAAACCCTCAGCGGGATGGTCGCAGCCTTGAGCGCACATGACCAAGTTGGCAAAGCAAGCCCAAATTCAAGGTTCTACCAACCTCCCAAGTAGAACACGCTCAACTATGCACACAGTTGTTTTTCAAAACTCCCTTTACCACTGTGATGAGATGGGGGGGGGGGGGGGTTTACTACAATGCCAAGACAGGCTTGTACTTGCAGAACAAAAGTACACGGTGTTCCAACACAATTTGTCATCATTTCGTAGCCCAACAATGGCACATGTCAAATTTTAACGAGATGTGGAAAATGTAAAAGTCTAACCAAGTTTAGTGTTAAACTTGAGCTTAATTAATGTTGTGGTTTTTCTTCGGTAGCAATGAAATGACATTTTGTGTGATGGAATATGCTCACAGTCAAACAGGCTTGACATTTTACCAAGTCCATCACCCTCTCCCCCATGAACCTCCCTCGTTGTCATACTGTAACAGTGGCTTAAAAAAAGTTGTTAAGACATTTGAACGGAACTTTTACTTCAGTACATTTTGTTACCCTGTGCACTTTTTTTCCAACTTTTTAAGTACTGCACATGAGGGGAAAAAAAGAGCATTTGTTTTCAAATATTTTTAAGTGCGAGAAATGTGAATATGAATCAGTCTTCAAAGTACAGTTATTTTCTATATATCTAAGTGCATGACTGCGCAAAACGCTACAGTGGCTTATAGTAACAAGTACATTTTAGGAACCCCTTGCTCATTTTTGATGAATCTTACCACTGCTACTCGAATGGATTTTAATGTTGGCCATTATGCTGATACTTGGAGAGTTTAGCATGCTTTAAGGTGGTACTACTTGGTGGAAACATTTCAAGGACCACTAGAGTAGTACAACACCTGGAAAAGATGATGAAATCACTGCTCCTGGAGGATGATCATTTAAAGCACAGGTGTCAAACTCAAGGCCCCGGGGTCATGTCCGGCCTTGCCACATCATTTTGTGTGGGGCCCGCGAAAGCAAATTGTATGTGTCAACTTGCTTGATCCTTGCTAAAATCTGTACCGAAATGTCACATTTTCATGTGTAATAAGTAACATTGAGATTTTGTAATTATTTTGTGACTTTGTTTGCACTCACTTGAACAATAATTTAACAAACTATTATTGTTGACTGATTTCAAAACGAGTACTGCATTAATTTGTTGTGTACGAGTACCAATGCGTTGAGACGATTCAACATTTTTGTGTCATAAGAAGCCCTTCGAGGAAAGTTGCTGGCAACAAAAATGAGTTTGACACGCAACTCAACTGTATTTACAGAGCATTTTGAAACAGCCATCGCTGCATACAAAGTGCTTTACATGGAGCAACTATCTTAATATACAACAATAAAGCAACAAATCAGTAACAAAGACGGTAGAAAGCACCGAACAGCAAAACAAAGACCAAATCTGAGTCACGCTGAGTCAAATGCCAAAGAATACAAGCGAGTTTTGAGGCGGGTTTTAAAGATGGGCAGCGAGGGGGCCTGCCAAATGTTCAGTGGGAGGTCATTCCAGAGAGAGGGACCAGCAACGGAAAAGGCTCGATCCCCTCTGAGCCTCAGTTTACACTCCTGATTTAAAGGGCACCTACGCCAGCCCATTTTGAGGCCTTGATGGGGAAAGGCCTTTTTTCAAAATTGTCAAGTTTGAAAAATATCTGGTCTTTCCATCTTTGTGTCAAGTCTTGTATTCTTCAAATAAGCATGCCCCAAATCGCCCTGGTTAATTTTAAAGCAAGCCGCCACGTTAGGAACGGATATGACATCAGGTCGTTGACTGGACCTTCCCTTGCACCCACCGGTTGCTATAAAGTGATAGACCACATCATTGTTGTTATCAGACAGAGTGCTTCGGGGCTGGACTTGTACCTCAAATCCACGATCGCTGTTTGTTAACCATTTCACCACAGAATCCCAAATCCATTCAAATGGATTACTAATTCTAATTTTGCTGAACACAGGGTGTTCTTCCAGCAATCCATCCATCCATTTTCTGAAACGCTTATCCTTTCGGAGTAATTTTAAATCCATCCACTTAGTCTGCGGCAGCCAACAGCCGACCAGGCTTGCCTTTCAATGATGCTACATCACACCTGCGCTCCCAGGAACCAAGAAGGAGCAAGTATGTGTGCACGTGTTCGCTGCCATGGCATCTTGGACAGAAAGGTCCCGCAAGCTTCAATACAATGAGTATAACAAAAACACGTTGGGTGACAAAGTTTCCCTTCTGATCACCATAAGTACACTTGAAAGTTTTAATTTTGGAGAGTAAAGGCAATCACAGACATGACAAACCATTTGTATTAAAAATGACAGCCTTCTGGCTTTTAGCAACACTAAAAAAAGGTAAGAAGTCTTTTTTAGAGCAAGTCGAGAGGAAATAATCGCTCAAATCTGAGGTAAAAAAAAAAAAATCATAAAAGGAGAAAACACTACCACTATTTGTTTCATCACCTCTGGCTTTCTAACAACTTGCAGTTTCTAGCATGGACTTAACCAGTGTGATGTGAAGGTGTGACTGACAGCTTCCCTGTGCCTTTACCTGACTTTCAACCTCATATCATCGATGACTAGAAATTTGCACATTTTCAGATTCATTGTTGAATATCACTTTTCATGCCCATGATTGCTTCTTTTTTTTAAGTCCACTGTAGCCTTGTTCTTTTACCTTTTATTTAGATTTTCTGTATGTGGATCCCATTATCTTTAGGCATCTTTAAGTTAAGACACAGACGGTGACTCCAGTTTCTTCCCATTTGTACCACATTTGGTTTGTAGTGCATGTTATATAAGATATATTTTGCTTCATTTTCCTCAATCTTGACGCTTTGAGGCCTTCCTTGGTCTACCACAGGCATGTCCAGCTCCAGGCCTGGAGGGCCACTGTCCTGCCTGTTTTCCAGCTCTCCCGGCTGCAACACACCTGATTCAGATGATCAGCTCATCAGCCAGCTCTGAAGCAGCATTAGAACATTCCTTATTATTTGAATCAGGTGTGTTGCTCCTGGGAGAGCTGGAAAACAGGCAGGACAGTGGCCCTTGAGGACCGACTTTGGACACCCCTGGTCTACCAGGACGATCGCTTCCTTTTCACAACCTTCCCATTTTGCTGGTAACAACCCTCATTCCGTGATGTTTTACCTACTTGAAGAAGTTGAATAACTCTCTTTCTACTTCCATGTCGTGGTGGAGCCATGATTCATTGTCATTCCACTTGGTGCTTCATCTCTTCCAAGGTGTGAACGCTCTGATTAAACTGCAGACTGATAAGCATATTCAATTGGATGTGGGTGTTTGTTTTAGAACGGAAACTGATTCCTGATGTTTCCAGACTTTTTTTCCCCTTCTGAATTGAGTGATTCCAAAATATTTTCCTTCTACTTGCTAACCAAACATGTAAGAGAACAACAATTGGACTTCTTTCTTTTGTCGTAAAGCCAGAACAGTGGCATTTTGAATCCAAACTATTTGGTGTAACATTCGTGAATTTGCCTTTAATCTCCTAAATTAAAATATTTAAATGACCAACCTCCAGGAGCGGCGATTCATTTTTTTTTCTCACGGGTGTGTGAGGATGGGAGACAAATGGACACTACAGTTGTTTTAGCCGGTACCTCAAGTGCTACCCAGACGTGAGGAAGTGAGTACTGTATGAACAAGAGTTATTTGTTGGAGAAAATATCTTCGGCCCTGATTCTTGTGCCACACAAATTTGCGGTGTTTACGCTGCCCACACAGCGGGTCCAACGACCTACCTCAGCGGCTGCGCGCGGGTGACAAAACTCCTGCCAATCAGTCCCGAAGCCGGACAACTCGCTGCAGTCCTCCGAGCATATTCACGTACTCCAGCGTGGGCTATTCTTCCGAACGCCGTCAGCAGTGACGCCATTTAGAACACGAGGAATATGTCCACGAACACACTTGAAGGTACTTAAACAGCTCGACGCGACACCACACGAGCTGTCTCTCACCTTGCGCACTGTTGCAAGCTAGCTCGTTACTTAAAAGCTACCCGGAGTCACTCAGTCAGTGTCACGCGCATTGCGTAATCAACTACTTCCTGCAGTGCTTGTTGACTGCGTGGACACACCGAGAGTAACCGCGGAGTGAACAGGGGACATGGGATGAAGAAAAAGGAGGGGGGGGGGGAACGTTAAAAGAAAAACAAACTTGCTACTACAGATGACGCACAAGCGTTTCTCTTTATAGGTGTTTGTTTAGCTCCCGCATTTCCTGTTAAGGTGACGAACGGAAGTTGTTTACTTCTGGTCAAAATTTCAGAATAAAAGTTATACTATACCTTATTTCGGGACGCAAAGTGCCTCTCATTCCTTAGTCCCTGAATGTATACAGTACATCAAAGGACTTCTAGAATAAAATCATAATGAGTAATGGGCATGTCTTCATAAAGACACTTTGGTTGACACTTGACAAGTATTACAGTTGGCTTTATTTTCAAGCATAATTATCCAAATTTCTGGAGAGCAGTGTTTGCTTTTGCCTACCAGTAATAGTGCCATTTATGAATTAAAGTGTGGGGTGTCCCAAGGACAAGGGTCAATTTTACGTCCTTTACATATTAATCTATATTTCCTGCACCTCAACCATGACGAAACAAGGTTTTAGTCATTGGTCCTGTAGGTAAAAGAGAGACACTTTTACCAAAACTATATACCGGTAATTTTAACCCCTCACAATATGTAATGCGCCTGGGTGTCACTGTCCCCTCTGATCTTAATTTTATTCACATTATCTACAGCTTGGAACTCTTGACACACTACTAAACTGAAGCTCTCAGAGTTTATTACACTCTGAGCCTTTTGACTCACGGTGATTGATAAACAGTGTGAGACCACTAAATAATCCCTGTGTTTATTATTTGTTATTTCTGCAAAAAAATGTTGCACTTTATTTCAAGACACCATGCACTCACTGTGAGTCTTTGCTTGACAGTCTCAAGTACCTCACCAATGGATATCCTGCTGTATTTATGGGCAGTTCTTTTTTTTAAGGTACAGACCTTTGCTTTGCTTTCTTAGGACGCTAATTTCTCTTCGGGTCACCCTTACGTTTGCCTTGAGCTTTCTCTTCCATGGAGGTAGCCCATGTTCAATCTGGTTTTCATCTCATGGCTAAGGATCTCTCGGCTAACTGATTCTGCTGACTAGATCAGTGTTATGTTGACATCCTTCAGTAGGGATCCTGATGCCACTTATTTCTTTAGCCTTGGCAAGCAGGAAGTTGTTGAGTTTCTCCAGGCCTGAATGATCTTCTCTGAGATCAATTGCTGTTCTGTTTGTGGGGCTTGCACCCATTTTCGATGTTTGTGGGTGAAGGTAAAACCACCCCTCCAATGGCCTTGTGTCCTGTGTCCCCCTTGCTGAAGCATATGAAAATAAAATACGTGAAAAACCAGTAACAATTGTAAATAGCACAGCCACCTTATCTATATCTATATCTATATTTATATTGCACTTAATTGAACTGTGTACAGCTCTCTCTGAAACATTTATTTTTGTGCATGCAAACACTTTGTTTTTCTTCTTTCTACCCCCCAATTTTGCTGCTGTAGACTGTAAATTTCCCAAGTGTGGGAAAAATAAATTCAGATTCAGATTCAGAAAACTTTATTTATCCCCGTGGGGCAATTAGAGTATAAAATAAAAGATATCTTATACTACAGATGAGGCACACCGTACCTCATTCATATCCAACTGTGATAACAAAACACACACACACACACACACACACACACACACATACTGTATATACTTAATAAAATGACCTGGCAGATTAGATCTATTCGAAACACAAGAAGCAGACTGTAGTGACTTTGATGTGACAGGGAGACCGCTGTTATTAGCTGCCGCTGCATCAGCATTGACCTGAGAGGGCAAAGTGCAAGTAATATGGAAGATAACCAATAACCTCATCAAAATTGTGACTTCTTATTGGCGGCTTTGGCTTTTACGATCCAAGCGACAGTCTATTTATGCTTCGCCTCTTGCAGTTGGGCGCCGCTCACTGTTCATCAGTGCCACCTCAGGTGAGAAACATGCTTTTAGAACACTGTCTACATGAAGGGATTGCATTACAGGTACTTTGTGTCAGGAAAAACTTGTTTACTTGTGTTTTTTTACAGGATGTCCAAGTCAGTGCCACTGCTCCTGCTCCTGACACTGTCAGGTAAGAAAGCACAATATGGCTTACGTTTTCAGTTGTTTTGTTAAATAACAAATAACTGTCTTTGAAGATTCTAGACTGTCCATAGGTGTGAATATGAGTGTGAGGAGTTGTTTGTCTATAAGTGCCCTGCGATTTTTTGGCAATCAGTCTAGGGAGGGGGTCGGCAACCCGCGGCTCCAGAGCCGCATGCGGCTCTTTAGCGCTGTCCTAGTGGCTCCCTGGAGCTTTTTCAAAAATGTTTGAAAATGGAAAAAGATGGAGGAGGGAAATATATTTTTTGTTGTAATATGGTTTCTGTAGGAGGACAAACATGACACAAACATTCTTAACGTTTTCCAATGCTGTAAAAACGTATTGAATAAATATTATATTTCAAAATTTCTGTCAATGAGGATTTGCGTCATAGCCTGCGACACACATTTCTATTAGTGGTACGGGATGCCAGGTAGATGGCTGTTGTAAAAACAAAAACAAAAAAAACCCAGCATTTCATGTACAATTCATCGAGGGTACTTGCAAAGAGTGGGAATATGGGCGGCCGAGAGAAGCATTTTTAAATGGTACACGTGAGCTACGATTGTTAACACTTTGCAAAAGTGAGTCCCGTGCCTTGTTCATCTTAGCGGCCGTAGCGGCCATTGTGGCTGTTGCTCATGATGGCGTGTGTGCGGTAAGGGGTCAATCGCAGGAGGTTGGTTGATCAAAAAGTAGATTTTCCGTCAAAAAAGGTTGGGTCCCCCTGCTCTACAGGGTACACTGCAGGGGAAAAAAAATAATCATGAAGGCTTATTGTGTATTTGGAGCCAATGTAGTCCTTTTGATAGGAGGCTAATATTATACATACAGCATGTGTTGCATTCATTGTAAGGCTTATATAAGGCTTTCAATTTTTTGCGGCTCCACACATTTATTTTGGGTTTTTTTTTTTTTTTTTGGTCCAATATGGCTCTTTCAACATTTTGGGTTGCCGACCCCTGGTCTAAGGTGTACCCCACCTATTGCATAACATCAGTCGGAGTAAGCTCCAGCTCACCCACAGCCCAAATAAGGGCTATTGCATTATGAATGGATTGTGTCCCATATTGCCCCAGCTCCAAAAAAATTAAGCAAATTGATGGAACACTATTACATAATTGATTCTTTGGCATCACAACAGTTGAGCTCAGTGTGTAGTATGATCATGTAATCACAGCAATTGACCTCCTGAACAACTGTGCTGAGATTAGATTGAGACTAATGATTTATAGCACTATGCAATACAGTTATGGCCCACTTATCAGAGTAGCACAACTGGCGGCCATTAATTTCAAGCTATTTATCATCTAGAAACATTATTTAATCAACTGGAAAGAGGTGCAGTTGTCATTTTTATACCTATTATGTTTTCTATTGCTGAGTGGAGTTTCTCAGTCTCAACATGATATAACTAAATTCAGGGGCGTCACTAGGTTTCAAGAACAAGGGGGGCTTAGCCCCAAGGGGAACACAGCCCCTTTAGGGGGGTCCGGGGGCATGCTCCCCCGGGAGAAATTTTTTCTACATTCTTTTAAAAATCCATCAATTCCGTGCACTTTGAGAGCAAAATGAAGAGGCTATGAAGAACTACACACATCACATTAGTATCCTCTTTACTATGATGGGGCTTCCTCCCCTGGACTTTAACTGGACTAGATAATAGAAATTATAAAGAGTTCAAAAGTTCAATCTTGGTTGTTCAAGGGAATTAGAAGGATGCCCGATAACATAACCTATATGACAGTAGTCCTATATTCCTCTCTACCAAAATGTATTAATATATGCTTAGCAGTGGCGGGCCGTGCATTTCAACCTTAGGCCTTCAGTGACGTCACATACATACACAATATAGGCTCGTCAAGCAG